AATTTATAATAATAAGGTGATTACTTATAAGACAAACAAGTTGTAATTCTGTATTTTAGTATCCATACTGGCCCCAGTTTATACTTTTATTGCTTAGCCCAGTAGTAGAGACAAAGGAAAACCATAAGACTCATAAAAACAAACAAAAGAACAAAAATCTAGGCCTCCTTTTGCTGTGGTGCCCTCTTTAGTTCGACAGCGTGGACTTTAACAATCCTCCCTTGCATCACTGGTCCCTATTGCTAATTTTCCTGGCCAAATAAAAATATGTATTGTCACTTCTTGCTGTTTAAATACTTGTACAGTGCTGGGCCATTCTCTAAAGCTAATGGTGGTCCAGTTTATATCAACTTTTTTCTACGATTTTAAAAATAAAAAGGGGGAAACAAAATCCCATATAACCCCACTAAATCTCACAATTATTTTGAAAAATTTCAAGATTGTGATATTAAAAGTCTCACTCCTGATGAGTGACACATGGAGCTTCACTGGCGTGGATGCCCTGGCCAAATTGAGTGCCCTCACAGGTCTTCAAGGGCTACAGCATGCCAGACTCACCATCCTATGGTGGAGGTGATAGGATGCCCAGTGGCCCCATGGAGTGGAGGCAGGGCCAGCTGAGGCGCAGCTGAGGGCAGTGGAGGACTGTTGGGATCTAGGCAGTCTCAGTTCTTAAAGAAGTTAGCATCATCCTATCCTGGGTAGGGGGGCTGAAGGTGTTAAAGCCCAAGTGTGTTCTTAGCGCTTTCTCGCGCTTCTTGTTTCTCCACGTGGGCTGATGACCATGGCTCCAAAAGCAGAGATCAGATCTGGGAGCCAGTCTGGGCTCCCAGGGCTCATAGATGGATTATGGGTGGACATCAAAGTAGAGGTTGATTTTGAGGATGTGGTGCTGGTTCCCTCAGGAGAGCTTAAGCCTTTCTGTGTGGGCAGGCTTTGGGAAATGGCAGTAACTGTGGCGACACCAGAGTTTGCTTTCCCTGGGGTGTGCCTTGCTTTCTGTCCCGTGGTGCTCTGGCTAGGGGCACTGGAGGTGTTCTGTTCTAACTGTGCCCCATGTTGCTCCCAGTTGCTTGGGGTATCTCCTCTTTTGGAGGAGATACACAAGGCCTCAAAAGCTATAATGAGTTCTGGGAGCATGTCATGGCTCCGAGATCCTCTCGATGTCACTGGGACCAAAGGGTAACTAGAGGTATCCTTACTGGCTGTACTGCTTGTCCTGCAAGGTGAGCTTAGGTGTTTCTGGGTGGGCAGGCTTTGAGGGATGGCATTCAGGGTAAGAACATGAGTGTTTCCTTGCCCCTTTGTTCCCTTTTCTGTGTGTTTCCCCAGTGCCACGGTGGTACTGTGGCTAGGGGCACTGGAGGTGTTCTGTATCAACTGTGCCCCATGTTGCTGCCTGTTGCTTGGGGTACCTCCTCTTTGGAAGGAGATACACAAGTCCCCAAAAGCTGTAATGAGTTCAGGGAGCAAGTCTTGGCTCCCTGATCCTCTTGATGTCATTGAGACCAAAGAGAAACTAGAGATACCCTTTGTAGTGCCTGTCTCCTGAGGTGAGTTTTGGTGTTTCTGGGTGAGCAGGCTTTGAGGGATGGCACTTAGGGTAGAAATTCTACTGTTTTCTTGCCCCCTTTTAACCTCTTTTGTGTTTTTCCTGGGTGCCATGGTGGTACTCTGGCTAGGGGCACTGGAGGTTTTCCGTTCCAACCTTGCCCCATGTTGCTGCCTGTTGCTTGGGGATTCTCCTCTTTGGGAGGAGCTACACCAGGCCCCAA